ACCGAGATAGAATCCGATAGGTCACCGATATGGTAGTCCAAAATGTCATCCAACAAGATCAAATGTCGAGGACAATCAATCACCAATGTCGGAGAGACAGAGTCCAAATGTAACCGGTGTCCGAACTGTGATGCCGCCAAGTCTCAACCCCAACAATCTCCAAGTCTCCAATCCCGTAAGTACCACAGTCTCATACCACCGAAGTCCAACTCTGATCTTTGTCCAACTAGTATAAGTCTCCAATCTGAAGAAGAAGAAAAAGAAGAAGAAGAAGAAGAAGGAGCCGAGGAGGAGAGAGATAGAGAGAGGGACTGGCGAGGGGAGGGAGGAGAGAGGTATCCAACTCCGGATACCTCAGGCGGCGATGGCCGCCGGTACACTCAGTCGCCCTGCTGCTGCGCTGCTGCTGCGCTGCTGCTCCTCGCTGCTCCTGCGCTAAGTTTAGCGCCAGCGCTGTATCGCGCTGTACCATACCGTACCGGTAGAATGCCGGTAGGTCGATAGCTTCACTGAGGCTGGACCGGTACTTTTGTACCGGTGGGCAGAGGTCGGCCTCTATGCTGCAAGGCCTGACCGTGCCCTGAACCGTCTAGATGGACGGTTCAGCCCCAACCGGCGGGCGGCAGCCTCAAGAGCGCCGCCAAAACCAAACGGTAATATCGTTTGGGCCGGCCCGTCGGGTCTGGTCCAAGGTAAGGCCTTTACGGCCTGTAGTACCCCCAAGGTCGGGCCTTTGGCCCTACTGTGTCCCTCTACCCCTATGTCGGGTCCGGTAGGACCCGTGTGGCGTCGAAGATGTAACACACTCCCCCCTTTAAAAGACCGAGCTACCTGCGAGGGCGAAGTTGTCTGTCCGATACCGGGGTGGGTGGGGCGGGACGAGCTGCTTCCTTAGCAAGGCGTCGCTTCTCATAGTCGGCGAAGATAAGGGGTGCAGAAGTCTGCAAATCTGTACTGGAGATCCATCGAGTGTCATCAGGCGCACATTGCTTGAATGTGACCTTGAACTGCATTGGCTTGTTGCCATACTTGCGGTGCGTGATGACTCGGTCAACTTCCTAATGTCCATCCATAGAAGGCGGATCCTGTGATCGAGGTCCGAGAAACTCGTCAGCTGAAGGTGGCGTGTAAATGGCCAGCTTCGACGCGTGGAAGACCCGATGCACTGGAAGGTGAGGTGGAATGTTGATCACGAAGGAAGGACCTGCGGGGTCGTCTCCAACGACAGAAGTGACTTCCCATGGTCCGAACCATTTCGGAAGGAGTTTGCGCGAAACGTCCTGCTCGAGCGCAAATTCCTTGGAGAGGACCCAAACAAGGTCTCCCTCGCGGAAAGGACATGGAAGTCGACGTCGGTTAGCCTGCTGCTGCATGCGGATCTGAGCCTTTTGCATATTTGCGTGGGCTTTGATCAGCAAGTCCCGGTACTTCCGAACGAAAGCGGGAGAGCAAGGGACGTCTATGTTGACAGCCTGTGGCAAAAGAAGATCAGCGAAGATCCGTGCTTTCTCTCCACCATAATGTAACTCGAATGGTGTGACGCAGATCGCCGGGTCACCGAAGTGTTATAGGCGAACTCGATGTCGGGAAGCCGGTCAACCCAATCTTTCTGGTCGGGACGAATGAGCATACGCAACATTATCTGAGCGGTCTGGTGCGCTCGCTCCGTCTGGCCATCCGTCTGCGGGTGGCGAGCCGAGCTCGGCTTCATTGTCGTACTGGACTCAGCCATGAGGGAAGTCCAAAAGGCCGACATGAAACGAGTATCTCGGTCGCTCACTATGTCTTTCGGAACACCCTGGTTGGTAATCCAACCGGTGTGCAAGAGTCGTGCGAGTTCGGGCGCTGCAGCATGATGGAAGCGAGCATACTTGCTCAAACGGTCAACGACCGTGAGAATACCGTCATGGTCGTGGCGATCGCGGGGAAACGGGCCTGTCACGTCCATAGCAATTGAGAGGCGTGGTGCCCGAGGAATCGGCAACAGTTTCAGTTCGCCGAAGGGGACTCGAGATCGACCCTTGTTACGGTGGCAAACTGCACATGACTCAATGTACCTCGTGACGTCATGAAGGACATAGGGCCAGTGAAAACGCTCGCGGAGGCGTGCTAGTGTGCGGTTCACGCCAAGGTGTGCCGAACGTCGTGTGTCGTGGAATTCGCTGAGAAGACGAGTCCGTAAGATGTGATCTTGGGGCACAAGTAACAAGTCCTTTCCTCTCGTGTGAAGGAGAAGGAACCCGTCGGAAATCCGATAGTGGCTAGCCGGCGGGTGATCGGATGAAAGCACCGCGTAAAGCGTAGAGTAAGTCGGATCGGACTTGTAGCTTTTGACGAAATGCGGCTGCAGATCGTCATCGAGGTCGAATGCCGTGGTCACAATGACACAAAAGTCGGGCCGTCGTGATAGGGCATTCGCAGCTCGATTGGCGGGACCAGGAATGTGGCACGGGKCAAAGTCGAACTGGTCGATGTAATACATCCATCGACCAATCGTGCTAGTGACCGTATCCTGCGTTTTGTAAAAGGTCAACAGATTGTTGTCCGTATTCCATTTAAAACGTCGACGACCTAGAAGAAAGTGGCGCCACAGTTTGAGAACGGTGACGAACGCGAGTAGCTCTTTCTTCCTAGCGTCGTCGAGAGTGTTTACGAGAGGCACCTTTTGGGAGAAGTACTCGACCGGATGCCAACAGTCCTCGTGACATTGTTCCAACACCGCGCCAATACCGTATCCTGAAGCGTCCGTAGTCACTTGGGTGGGTAGGGTGGGGTCGTATATACGGAGGGCAGGTGCGGCTTGCATCGCTGCCTTCAACGTAGTGAACGCGCCACGGGCTGCGTCGTCGAACTCGAAGGACACCTTTGGGGACTGAAGTCTCGACAAAGGAGCGGCCACTTTCGAGTATGACTCGACGAATCGCTGATAATATCAAGCCAAACCCATGAAAGAGCGTACGTCGGTCGTGCAACGGGGTTCCGGCCAATCCACGATGGCTTGGATCTTGTCCGCTAAGGGACGAATGCCTTTCGGCGTGACAAAATGACCCAGGTACTCAAGCTCCTGCTTGGCGAACTCGCACTTGTCGAGATTCGCTTTGTACTTGGCCAGTCGCAAACGATCCAAAACAGTGCGAAGGTGTACGATGTGCTCGTCCAACGTCCTACTATAAACCAAGATGTTATCGAGGTAAATGAGGACACTGCGATCGAGCAAGTCGCGAAACTCAGTCGCCATCGCTGCTTGGAAAGTCGCAGGGGCATTGGTGAGGCCAAAAGGCATGACAACCCACTCAAAATGCCCGTACCGCGTCTTGAAAGTGGTCTTGTACCGGTCTTGAGGCTGGATTTCAATCTGGTGGTAACCTGACTTCAAGTCCAACTTCGAGAAGTACGTCGAGCCGCCCAACCGCTCAAGAAGATCATCAATCCGAGGGAGAGGGTCGGCGTTCTTTACGGTTTGTGCGTTAAGTTTCCGATAATCGATGCATAGCTGTAGATCTTTGTTCTTCTTCCGGACGAAGAGAACAGGGGCACCGTATGGCGAGCAACTAGGGCGAATCCAGCCCTTGTCGAGAAGGTCATCGAGTTGTGCGCGAAGCACCTCGAGTTCCTCTTCGCTCATGCGGTAGATACATCCACGCGGAGGGACGGCGCCAGCCTCGAGAGTGATCCCGTGACGTATGGGCCGATTTGGAACCGTTCCGGTGGGAGCCTCGAAGACGTCTCTATACTCGTCCAAGAGGTGAGAAATGTATGGGTCTAGCGGTGACGCGGCTGGTCCGTCCCGCGAGGGGAGAGCATGCAAGAATACAAGGCCCATCTCCTCGACGTCATTCCGAGCAATGGCGTCGCGAATTCTCGCAACGGAAACCACGTGACAAGCAATCGAAGTGTGAGGGATCACGACCGTACATGGGACTAACACTCCGTTCCGATCACGGATGTGAACGGTTCGGTCATGGAAGTTCACCGGATGATCGGCACTACGCAACCAAGACATGCCTAGAATCATGTTGAACTTGGTGTCGAGGATGTCAAAAGACACCGGCTCGCACACAAGTGGCGCAAAGTATACCGGAACGTCGTTGATGCATCGGTCAATTGACTTTTGCATGCAGCCGTCCGCGAGTGTAACTTGTGTGGGTTGCGTCTTCCTTCGAACGCGCGGGCCAAGACCTGCGCGGGCCATAAAGGCTTGGCTCATAAAGTTGCGAGACGCTCCGCAATCAATCAAGGCACTACAGGTTGCCTTTCCGATTTGAATGCGGATATAGAGCAAAGGAGCATCGGTTTCGGCGTACCTTTGGGTGGCGTACTCGCRGTCAATCTTCGYAAGATAGGAGYGGAGATCGACAACCRCTACCCCGTCGTCCGTCAAYGGAGCTGGTACTGTAGTGTGCAAATAGGAGCGTAAATCTGCCATCAAGGCGTTGCAATGCGGCCTTGGCAAGGTTCCGGTCGAGGGTAGAGGCATCCAAGCAAAGTCCTCTCTCGTGAGCGGGTC